GCAGTGGTTTTCAGAATGAACTGAGTGAGTGCAGTGGTTTTCAGAATGAGCTGAGTGAGGGCAGTGGTTTTCAGAATGAGCTGGCTCTCTTTTCATGGTATTATGTGTTCTATTCTTAGAGTCCTATAGATCAACAGAACAAAATATATTTACCGCTAAAAGTTGAGTAGGTGTCAGAACCTTGAATAAAAGAAACAAAATAATCCAAGAGTTATAATTTAGCATTTAAACTTGGAGTTACAATTCTGAGTTAGCCTGGTAAATGGAAACATATGTTTAAGGGCCTTAGCATTCCTAAAATTTCACCATTAGACCCGCACCACCGATAGTTTACAGACCCTCCTGCACGCCCACTGATAGTTTACAGACCCTCCTGCACCACCGATAGTTTACAGACCCCCCTGCAGCCTTTTCAAACCCGCACCACTGATAGTTTACAGACCCTCCTGCAGCCTTTTCAAACCTCTCCACCGATAGTTTACAGACCCTCCTGCGGCCTTTTCAAACCTCTCCACGGTTTGCTTTGTGGGCTCAGCACAGCAGGGACGTCTTGTGAAGATCACTCACACAGGCTCACCACACTATACTTAGGAGAAGCTCATCATGAAAATGAGCCAATGGTCATTTCTCACAATTTCAATAGTATTTAAAAATTGAATTACTGTGGTATAATAAACACACAGCTTTGTTTTTGGGTTCTTAGCTGATGAATATATTATCTTGCAATTCATTATCACCTACTTCAAGAAAACCTTGTTAAAAACTACGAGGTAAACACACCTTTTGTGTTCTGACCATAACCTTAAGTAGAGCTTCTAGGACAAATTACATCTCAATGAAGTCATATCCCTGTAAATGTAAGCGCAACAGCCTACAGGTGAGATGACCGTTAGGACCCTCACTGCCCTCAGTCCCCCCCCCCCCCCCAGGCTTAAAGAGCAGGCTGCATCTGCCTCCTCAGGCAGTTCTCCGGTTGGTGCTGGGCCCCTGTTCCCTCCACGCCATCACAGCTTGGCTTAGGCGCTTCCGCTTTTAGAGATAGGTGGGGTTGTACACTACATCTTTAAATCAAACAAAACAAGTTTTAATTTTTAGTCAAATATCTTCTTAAAGGAAGTTTTAAATATATTTACCTGATTTGGATCAAAAGGGAAGGGAAAAGGAATTGGAATCTACAAAAAAGAAGAAAAAAAAGATGAATTGTGAGTGAAGCAAGCATGCCTGTTTCCCTTTGTGGTTTTCTTTATTCACTCACCATTTTAGCCTTTCAGTGCGTGCCTCTGGGACTGGGGTGGCGATAAACAAGGCTACTGCCCTTATGCAGCTCTGAATTTGATACACTATTTTTCCTTTAGGAGTTATAATTATTTTGATTAATTAGTTAAACATAATGTCCCAGGTTCTGTTGGCGGGTCTTGCAAACCCACCGATTTCTCTACTGCAGATACTGGCGCCCTCTCCTGGTGGAGAGCCTCCACTTCCACACTAAGGATTTCTCTCTCTTGCTCAGGACCTGTCTTCTTTGGGGAGTGTTTGACTCACAGCCTCGCTGGCCAGCGATGCCCTTGCCTCTGGGAGCGTGTCTCAACAAGACCCTGTCATCCACTTAATATTTGCCCAGCCCTCACTGAGACAGTTATAAAAATCCAACTATTAGGAGACACCGAGGGCGTCAGCAAGAAGGGCAACGTAACTTTTTGCTTTGACTTTTGAGGAAAAGTTGTAGAAACCCGAGGAAACTTTTAAAGAAGAGAAAGCATCAAAGTGATTTAGTAACAGCGAAAGAAGGCGGCCACAGGCTACCGTTACCTTCACGGAGCTAAGGCTCCTCATGGTCAACGTCAGCAGCACAAGCACCCGTGGACTGGGTGTGGCAGAACAGGGAGAGGCCACAGTGCCGGAGCCACGTTTCCCAGGCCGTGGCCACTCCTCACTACAAGCTGTGCTGGAGAGGACTGAACAGCCGGCAGCTTTCTTTTTAACATGTCGTATTTCTGGGTCAAAATTTGGGGAGTGTGAAAGCCATCACCCAGCTGATACACTTGAGACTTCCCACCCCCTGCTTACCAGAGGCGCCTGGGGGAAGGGAAGCTGAGGGAAGAAGGGCAGGATTTGTGGTGGGTAAAAGCTGAATCTCTGTAAAAGGAAGCACAGTGTGAGTCGGTCTGATTATTAACGACAGCTTTGAAGTGAAGAACATGCTATTTGAATGTACACGTGTACCTGTTCACTGGAACTTCCTCCAGATTGTCCAAGCTTTAAAAAAAAAGAAGAAAAGCACCAAGGTGAAGCAGCTGGTGACAGCACCTTATCCAGCAAGACGTTTCATTTCATGTGAGAACAGCTAAAAAGCCTTGAGCATTATGCCTGTCGGTCATGTAGCTTCACCTCTGAAATAAATTACATGTTTAACAGGGGAGTGATGCGTTGATTTTGTCCAGTGACTTAGAAGGCCAAGCACCTTTTGGCTTTTATGTTTATATCTAAACCATGTACTTATTTACTCCCTTAAGATTTTGCCCTGCATTTTTTGTATTGGTATATTTAGCACCAGGGCTGCTCTAGATCAGTTTTCAGTAGGTAGACGTTCAAAGGGAGCGTGAGTGTCAACTTAAATTTTGTAATCTCCCCACAACCTCTGAATGGTCTCTCATTCCCTTGAAAGCCCCCTTGTGGCCAAATGTGCATGGAGAGGGTTTCATGCTTCCCTGGTGCTAGGCACTGTCCACAGTAAACATAAATTGTTCCTACAGGTCCCACTTACTACAGATGTGGGGAGCGTGGTTAGTCGGTGCATAACAAAAGGTTAGGCTGCTGCTGCTGGTGGGGTGTCACTGTGTATTATGTATTCTAGGGTGGTGTCATAAAATGCATCACTATTTCACAGATCACCTGCAGAGCCAATGCTCCCGTCCAATGGACACAGTGCTTTACCGCCCCGAGGCTGGAACACATACTCGTTTAGACGCTAACTAAAATTAGGGAGATGTGTGTGCTGCAGCAGCTTCTTCAGCACGGTGTTCCTAGAGAGGCGGGCGGTGCATCTCGTTTGGAACTTTAGACAGCCGTGTGTGTCTGGGCTGGGCATGTAACTGGACGGAAGAGCATTTGCCTTGCATGGGCAACACCCTGGGTTTGAGCCCCAGCACTACCAAGAACACATCACAACAACGGTTCTTGCTAATGTTCCACGAAGAGACTGTGACCCAATACAACAGACTGGCTTGTTATTCAGGCATGCTGCACATGGGCATAGGTTGCTATCCAAATCTTGTTTCCCAAAATAAAGACATCCATGTATAATACTTCAATGATCTGTCACACTCCCGAACTGCATATTTCAGACATAAGTTTTTAATATTAATCTTAGAACTAGCGTGGGTAGTCTTAAATCTTCCTCCCTGTAAAACCAAGTTTATCAGGCATCAGTCTTGGTGTCAGAGCATCTTTGAGAGGAGCCTTTTAAGAAAACTCCAGGTGATGTAGGGCACTGTTATAAACGAAGCTCAAGTCAACTGCTCACTTTCGACCTGGGTCCCTGTAGAGTGCTTGGTTTATATTGCTAAGTTTACCAAGAGCTCTCTGTTGCAATTAGGACATTAAGTGTTTTAGAACCATTTCTAGTCATTTTTACACTGCAGTTGTTCTTACTTGGTTGACAGGGAGAGCATGAGTTAGTTCTTTGCCCAAGGTCACCCTCTAGCTAAGGTCTCCAGAAGCAGCTTTGTGACACACAGAGCCTGAGACCCAGGAAGATTCCTGATCCCGTTGCACTCCTGGACTCCGCTTTCCTCTTCTGTGAAGATGTGAGATGCTTTCTAGCCCTGAAACATGAAGACTCACAGTGGTGACTGACAGCAGCTGAGGAAGTACTCACAGGGATGGGCAGAGCAGTGGTGGTGCCCAGCAGGGCGGCCAGGAGGAAAACCTTCATTCTGCAGGGAGAGTCTGGAGTGAAGGATGAGGTGATCGATCTCCACATCCTGTTTCCATGGTGAACAGACGGTTGAAGCAGACATGCTGACAGGCTAAATCTTGCCTCTAGATTCACATTTTCTTTTTAAGCTTGGAAAACCTTTAAAAAGCTTTAAATGCCCCTAGACCAGTCATTCTCTGACTTGGTACATTGCCTGCCACCCCCACTCTTCCTTAGTGACTTGAGATTGTGATCTCTCTGCATAGATCTCTTGTCTGCAGGGTTACAATGAGGGAGTGACCATCGCCAGCTAACAGTAGAGAAAAGCTTTTACAGAATGTACAGATAAAGCTTGTGCTGCATGAGACTGACCAGTCCATATGCCCTGGATGCAGCTGTTGAGAATTACAGTTCCTTAGAAAGGAAATTACATGAGAAAAAATTTCAAGGCATCACGGGTTGATAAGAATAAGCACAATGTGAATAAATTCAGGAAAGCAACTGAACAAGGTCTGCTCTGCCCTGTTGGTTCTGAAGTAAGTAAACCTTCATTTGTAAAATCACATTCACTTAGAACTAACTTACCCTCTGCATTTTAAACTACACCATTGTACTATGGAGTCTGGCTGTGAGAGAACAGCCTCACCATATTTTCATGAATACTTGTCCCCAACATTTGAGGCAGATTCTGTCTATGAATCATCTGCCAGCTACTTTATACTTAAACTCAACTCTGCTTGAGTTTGTATCACTTTGCTTGAACAGAGACTTCTTTTCATAGTTTTCCTTTCTATATTTTCTGGATTCAAACTCTAAAAATTCTTTCTTATTTTGATAAGTGGACATAGAAGTCATTGAACCACCCAACCCAAGAATGTTCCACATCCTTTGAGAAGTATAAATTATATTGTGTTAATTACCTGTGCTTCAAATGGTCCTCAGAGCGACAGCTTCAGGAAGCAGTGTGGAAGGACATCCTACACCTGGCTAGTATTTAAGCTGTGTTACTAATGTCTACATGGTCATGGGCAATATGACTCACAAATTCATGGCTACACTGAGCAATTGGCTTGAGACTAGGAACTCCCATTTTTAGGAGATCACAATTACCGAGATCGGCTTAAAGACTGATTCTGAAAAGACAACTTCATTGCCTTGACTGGGATTAGAGTGATCTGTATCACAACCCACTGGTCATTAAGCACTAACCATCGAGAACATGAGAGTGCTTCTGTGGTCTCTTTCCCGGGGCCTTCGACCTGCAGTAAGATTTGAACGCCTCCATTCTTAGTATTTTTGTTTCAAAACGAAAATGATTTTCAAATAAAAGTTTTTAGTAAATGTTTAGATGGCATCCTTAATATTAAAACCAGTTTTCCTTATTACAAAGCATTTTTATGAAGTTCCCTGAGAGTAAAATAAAATTTTAGGCCTAATTGACACCTGCTAGTATAATTATAAAACATGGTTTCTAAAACCTAACTTCTAAAAACTGGTTTCTAATTAAGACAGTTGTGGTGTACATTATCATATTCTGAAGTTTAGAATAATTTCTAAAATTAATTTCCTATTTGATAAAAATAAATAATTAGATTTTGTTTGGTCAAATTTAACCTAATTATTTAGAGAGGATATGATTTAATGTGATTTTAATTAAAGAAAAAGGGACTTACTTACCTCATAAAAGATTAAAAACAGTCAGGCGGTGGTGGTGCACGCCTTTAATCCCAGCACTCTGGAGGCAGAGGTAGGCGAATCTCTGTGAGTTTGAGGCTAGCCTGGTCTACAAAGCGAGTTCCAGGAAAGG